TGCACAATTGCTCGATTTTTTGCCGATTTTTGACACACCACGCCAAAAAGGTTGCCCATCACTGGTCTAGACTGATAAACCACTATCTTACTAGCAAATACAGGAACTTAACACTTTAGAAACAGTTCAGGCCAGTCTTTCCCAACCGTGTGTCCTCTCCACGTGCAATTGTGCAAAGAATGGGAAGACTATAAACATTGTAATTCTCTGCCACAATAACTGATGCAGCCTTGGAATTATGTGAGTTGTGGTTCAACATATCTGTAGTCAGCATAGTTAGGAGGGAAACAGCCCCTAGAATAGAAAACATCAGTGAATCATGCCTCAAAAGAACATATGATATGCCAGTGTATAGCATAACAGTGTTGTATATGAAAAAGCTATGTTCAAAGTATTCAGTGATGTTTTGTGCATGCAGTCAATTATTATGCTTATTTAATATTTAGTCTGCCTTCCAGGACTACTTTATCCCCTTATGCCTGATTGAATAAAGATCATTTGCATACCCATTGGTCTAAAAAAAAAAATCACAAAACTGATGCTACTATTTTGATCCTTCTACTTATATAATATGCAAGAGTGTAACACGAAATCATCTCAGAATTGTTAGAAGATATGTCATAATTTCATATAAATCTGTTATACCACTTTAGACTTTACTCTACAGAAAAAGGATTAAAGTGCTTGTCATAAAATTGGTCACTAGGAAACAAAACAAAGACTTAGAGCAGAGTAAGATAAACCACATAAACTAGCAATCCTGTATATGACAGGGGAAATGGTCCAATTCAACTAGAACAGCTATAGCTAAGACTCATGTAAGCCACCTTCTGATTTAGGAGAAACCCATCTTTGAATATACCCAATGTATTCACGTGTTCAATGTTGCCTGTTTTCATCAATTTTTGGATAGAATAATTTTGAAATATATCTAAAATTAACAGAAAATGAGGATTTAGAAAAGATGTGTGCAACTTTTTGGCTTGGCTGGGCTTCACTGAGTGAAGAGGAACGTCTTGGGCTACATATAAAATAAATAATATAGTTAATGTCTATAAATAACAAACTTCCTTTATTTTCTTATACTTTATTACCATCTTGTGGGGATGCATTGTGTAGTCTGTATGTTTGTATGTACATACAAAGTGCATTTGCCACTTGTGTTTAGACATACACACATTTATGCATACTAAAATAATGTCATGTCAGATCTAAAATTGCATACTGGAAAGGAAAAACTAACTCATTCCCTCTTTTAGTAATCATTTCTTCTCTATAGTGCCAATAGTACAGTACTGATGGGCCATTATAGGCTGTTAAGAGAAATGTTATCTCCATATAGCAAAACACATAGCAGCCATGATAAACTTTATCCTCCAAAATAATTTTGTGATTCTTAGAAATCCTCCTGAGGAAGAAGTTTATGAAGAACGACAAAGAATTTAGGTGAGCCTAAATCACTCTATCAGCTCACTAGCTCTGAGCTGAACCTATCTGAAAGTAGCTAAACCTACTCATCACTCAAATATTTGCAATTTCCATTATTCCTGCCACAAATTATAGGTATATGCTTGTTTTAGAAGGTGCCCAATACTTCAGATAATCCCAAGTAAAACACTAGGGTTATATCGCAATCCGTCATAAAGGCTTAGTACTACTTAAAATACATTATTAGGTTTCCCCAAAGCTAAGATTTTTTTAAAAAAAACTAGGCAATAGCTTTTATTGGATTAACTTCTGCTGATGTAGGAGTGTGCAAACTTGATTTTCATAGACCTGTTTCTCAAGCAAAGCTAACAAAGTAATACAAACACTAGTCTGTTTTTGGGTACTACAAGTCAATCTATTTTTTTTTTAAGATTCACATAGATTATTACTGATTTACAGTCAACTTATGGCCTGTATCAGAAAGTTGCTTTTCCTTTAGATCAGGAAAGAGCTTAGTTAATTATTAGAAAAACATCCTTTCTTAACCACAGGACATACAGACCAATCTATCTCTTACACATTAGTTGTGGCATGGGCATTATGAAATCATTGCTGCACTTTTGTTTTCGTTTGAGTAAGAGACCAAACCCTATGAGTCTATCAGAGTTAATCAAGGACACCAGTTTACAGGCCCAGCTGGGAAGCTTCTGCTGGATTCTTTGGTTGGCAGGATCCATGGAAAACTCAATTCTGAGGAAGGGGAAGGAATCTTTCCTTGTACAATCTGCATTCCTCCCTCATACATCTCATCTTCATAGAATTCTGAAGTTGTCAATAAAACAATTTGGAACATGTAGTGGGAAAAGTGTTACATGAAACAGATCTTACTTCAATTATATATGTTCTGGGCCACAGCTTGAGTTCAGTTCTGAAGTGAAGAGCCAATCATGTAATAATTTTATTACTATTGTCAAACAGCACTTATCACCATTATCAACAACATCAAACCTAATGCTTCAAACAGTATGAGGTTAGCTGCCATTTTATTTTCATAATGCGGTAGTCCTTGTGACTAAGTTGTCCTGGGTCACAATAACTAAATGTAACATTTAGTTATTTATGGATGCATAACAGATGTTAGATGCCTTGAAAATAACTAACGTATCAGTGCGGTATTAGAACAAAATTATAAACTTTTATCCCCTAATTTAATGTTTAACAACCCAACTCCCCAAACTTTAAATGCCAATTACTAAAAAGCCCTGGTCAGATTTCATCAGCTTATTATATCAACCTAGAATCACCTCCCAGAACTTCTTGACAACATGGTCATGTAGTCTCCACATTTCTGGACGGCAAGAGAGTTTTCTTCATCCAAAGTCACAAGGCTATAATGAGCAACCCAGTTGTCACAACTGAAAATACCTTTGCCTCGAAGTTAGCAGTTTTGCTTTATTCCATAGCATCAATTCATACAGATTTTCTGAGGAAACCTTGCAGTTACCAGCTGAATGTTTTAGATCGGTGTTTCTCAACCTTGGTGACTTGAAGTCCTGTGAACTTCAACTTCCAGAATACCCCAGCCAGCTGTGCTGGCTGGGAGATTCTGGGAGTTGAAGTCCACAGGACTTCAAGTCGCCAAGGTTGAGAAACACTGTTTTAGATAATTTAATGCCACCCCATTTGGAGCTTTAAAACGGAAGCCCTGGAAAGTAGACCTATCCCAGGTAAAGGCAATTTTTTAAAACAAAATTTCTGCATTTCTGGAGGTGGATTTTCAGCTTCCAGAAATATTAACACCACAAAATACAGCAGGAAGAAAGCGAAGAATCTGAATTTTTTTCCCTTTGGCTGATGAAAGAGATTTAAAAACATGTTTTTGAACTTTATAAGATAGAGCAGCAACTGGGCTATGTCAAATTTGAATCTGTGCTCTATGGATTTCCAACAATTAACAAGCTTTAGAAAGCTCAGACTATAAAGCCAGTAGGAGAGAGCAGGAGTTCAGGAAAGAATAATTAAAGGAAAAGAGGAAGAAAGAAGTTCAAGGATGAAGCTAACCCGATGATCATTTTTTCCCAGGGCTTGGAGGAATTCCTTCGTCATCTAATAGACTACCGCTCATTAACTAGCAACAGTAACCTAGGGGCCAGACATTCATTTATCCGCAACATTACTCCCAACGCCACGTATCCAATGAACAGCAGCTCTGAAACCCAACTGCTCCGGGTTGAAAGTAACTACGGGCACCGAAGTAGCAAAACGTGGAATCCCCGAGCAGATCGAGCATCAAAGATTTCCGCAGTGAACCCAACCAAAATAAACCCCGCGATTAATATATGACTCATACCTCTTGCAGCCCCACCCCTTTCCGGAGACGAAAGCCTAAGATTTTCCAAAAAGAGCAGAGATTACGATGATCAAGCAAAATAACTTTCTTGGCGGGGCGCTGGTGGTATCTCAAACGGAGCGGACGCTGCCAACAATGTCCTACTCTTAAAATAGTGAGCCGGCTCGTCCCCCGTCCCAACCACCCACGCTCCTCCGCAGCAGTAGCCGCCGCAGGAGGTGAAGGAGGGAGAAAGGGGACGGGGGACGCCGGCCTCCCCAGATCCCCCACGGAGAGCCTTAAAGGACCTTGTCCGAACTGAGAAGAGGCGCCAGCCTCCCAGGGAAAGCCGTCGGAGCGCCGGGGCTTCTTTCACGACTCACTTTCCCAGGCATCCACCGATTGCAAAGCTGGACGGAGCCGAAGAGAGGCTCTTTCCAGTAAGGGAAAGCGGCTCCGGCTCTTCCTTCAGGGTTTTAAAGAGCAAGGGCAAACATGTGAAATGACTTCATAGGAGGCGGCTCGGAAACACGTGTTGCTGAAGTACCTGGAAAAGAGACGCAGCAGTTCGTACGCCTTCTTCTCAATGAGAAGCCGCATCTCCGCTTCTAAGCCCCGAGTGGTGAATTACTTGCGGGCTCAATCGCAAACCGGCTCGCGTTCTACCGCCTTTTAAATTGCTAGACCTCAAGGCGCATGCGCCTTGTTGCCTTGGGAGTGACGTTGACTTGCCCAAATCTGGGGCCGAGGGAGCGTTCCTTGTCTGGAGACCGGCCGAAATTACTTTCTCGTCTTTTCCCGCGGGCTGGAGTTCAAGGCTGCGACCCGCGTAAACTCCGGCTTTCGGGAATTACCTGATTACCCTTTTTATTCCAGTGTTGCAAAAAGCACTAACACCCCCCCCCGCCCCCTCCAAAACTTTGTGACTCTCTAAAATTATGACCAAAGTGTTATTGGCTCCCTCAGACACTTGAATAAAACACCAACAGAGAAATATACATGCTTAAAAAACGCAAATACAAAAAGTAAATGTTAATTTATTATTCCAAGTGTAAGTATACTGTGCCTTTCTTAATTTATAAACTTTTGAGGCTACTTAAAAAAATAAGTACAAAATATAATATAAAAACAATATAGTTAGGATCAAATCAGTATCATTAAAATAATTTAACAATGGGGTACTCCAAAACCTGGAAGCCAAACAGAATCCTCATTTTTGTGCCAAATTACCAAACCTGGGTGGCTGAAGCATCTTCCAAATTTTTAAATTTAAAATATTTAATTTTATATGCTTCTAGGATTTCTAACACTACCAATTTTTAGGCACTTGGACTTCAATTGCCATGCTTAAAATTGCATTGGAAGTGGAGGGGGGGGGGGAGACAATTAAATATTTTTATTTGGCAACCCAGACATGGTTTCACATAAACCATCTTTCAGAACAGTTCAACATTTGATGATTGATGATTGTTGAATTTGTTGATTTCAGTCCTGTATTTCAGGCAGAGCTCCTAATATAGGATAAGGAACAATGATTCTAATTTTAATTTCCCCAGATTAAGCTATATATTCCCATATCTACCATATCTACAAATTCATGATTTGTTCATTTCTTTGACAACGTCATTAGGCAGGCTTATTTTTGCTAAGAACAACATGATGCCAAGCAGCTTTTTTGTTTGTTTCCAAAGGATAAAGATTTGGTGAAGGTAACATGGGTAACATTAAACTCTTGGACTTTGCTTAAGAACTTGCCAAGGTGCGTGGGTGGTGTGCATGTGTGTATACGCACATGCATGAGAGAAGGGTGATTAATGAGTGTTCCTCAGAGTGTTTCCATTTTTCACCCTCCGGTCACTTTTCCAGCATTGTGCAGTCTCACGGGCTTCCAGCATTCCCATGACATCCCAAACAAGTCATCCTCCTTTCAGTCTTACTCTGATCAGTCAAAGAGGTTGCACAAGGATGGATCGATATGAGACAATAGAATCAACAGAAAGCACCCAGGACTCCTTTGCAGCAATAAAGTAAGTCAATTTAAAATATTGCAAAAGTGGTAGAAAAGCACTTTCAGAAAGAAGAACAGGAGCCTCTTTTGTCCAGAACAAAACTTTCAGGAAATTACTAAATATTACCTGTAACCAATCCTACTTGGAAGTTATTATATAAAAACTGATCTGATTAGCTGCCTCCTGCTTTTAAACTGTAGAAGACTCTTTTTAGTTGGGTTTTCTATGCCTGACAAAGTTTCAGTGAGTCAGGCAATCATGGCTGAGACCTCACAGATCCAAGTCTGTCTTCCAAGTGCCAATTACAGTGATAAATGAGCAGCTTGTTTCAGCTGTATTTAGACTAGCATTGAAGTCAATTTCACTCTGTAGTCCATTTAGATTTTCATGCAGCATCAGTTTGTGTTACTCCTTTATCCAGACGTGAATGCAGGCATTGCCCAAACATCTGTGTGACCAACTAGATATTTGTACAAATATTCACAAATAGAGTCACAGATGTGGGGATTGAAACATCTGTTCTCCAATTCGATAGGCATTTGTTGATACGCAACTCATTGATAATCCAATTTATATTAGTTTATGACAATGCCAAGACACTTTAGTGATACACATAAAACTTTTTGAATGTGAAATATTATTGCTGTTTATTTTTTATTTAATATCCCATGCCTTGCATTTTTCATTTCTTTTGGTATAGTTGTACAAGTTCTGCCCTTTTTGGAGCACCAGATACTTGTTCCATCCAAACTGTTTGCAGATTGGAATCCTTACACATGAGACAAAGCATATGGAACACCCATTCTTCTCATGAGTCTACCAAGTGGGGACAAGTCCATTGGCATGGGTCTTTGAGACCACTGACTGATGCAAAAAGCTAATCTTACTCTCGAAAAACCTCCATAGGTATCTAACTCATTGTGAGAGTGCAAAAAGCTACAAGACCATGTGGACACATATCTAGCCAGGACATATCTTTTGCTGAAGAAAACAATTGGCTAAATGTTAATTGTCAGCCCTCAGGCTGCCATCCAGGGGGAACCTGTCCATCACCATGCCCGCTCGGCCCTGCTTACACGCCACTAACTCTGCCACATTGATGTTGCCTCTCTGATGTCGATTGAGCCTGTAGCTGCAGGTGGCTCTTCTACTCGGGTGCAACTGCCTACTCTGATGTAACTCTTCTACTCGGGTGCAGCTAACCAGGAAAGAGGCTGAGTGATGACACTGAGTGGGTGTGTGGCTGAGAGTGTGGTTCATGGTGATTCGTGATGGATTAGTGCTGGTTATCATGTAGTTTCTTAGATAGAGACAAAAGTTTTTCACCAAACACACTGAATTTCTCTTTGTATGCACCGTGAACACCGGAAC